GACACATTCAACAGAACAGTACTTAACTTACGTGGTGATTGCTACCCTTCTGATCTTCTACGAGGTTTCAGTCGGAATTTCACCTTGAAGATGACAAGACGGTGATTTATCCAGACCTCGGCATTGCTGACCGCCTTGGTTGCCAGCATGCCTTGGTAGTCCCACCTTCGAACCAAGACGCAGATCACTTTCAAAATCTGATGGTCTCGGTTTTACGAGAACTAAACCCAGTCGCATATCTGGTTTACCTTGAGGATTTCATCGTCCACGGATCTATAGTCGAGTCCCCTTTTGCTAATCTCCAAGCCATTTTCACCCGTCTGCAGGCCGTGTGCCTCGAAATGAACCCAAATAAATTTCACTTTTTAGGGCCTCTGTCCCTTTCTTGGATCACATTGCCTCCATAGATGGAGTTAAAAGAGACCCCATGAAGACTAATTTGGTCCCATACTGAACACAACCGGCGTCCGTTCCCAAACTCCGCGGTTTCCAAGGCCTGGTCTTCTATTAAGGACGTTTTATTAAAGACTGTACTCATATTGCTGCTCCTATGAATCGTCTTACTAGCAAGCAGACCGCCTTTTACAGGCCCAATGATTGCAATAGATCGTTAGAGAAGCTCAAACGGCACCTAACTCTCCCTCTTATGTTGGCGTTTCTCGACATCTCTGAGTCGGTTTCACCCTTCGTCTAGGACACCGAAGCTTCAGACGTAGCTATTGGAACAGTGCTGTCACAGCAGCATGCTAAAGAACTTGAGCATCCGCTCGCTTTTGCCAGTCAGACGCTGACTAAGCCTGAGCGTAACTACTGAACCACCCGTAGGGAACTTTTAACCGTCGAGACGTTTGTTAGGAAATTTCACCACTATTTCACGGCCAAACATTTCGTGTTACGCAGCGATCATCAGACGCTTCGTTGGTTGGAAAACTTCAGGGATCTGACAGATCGGCTTGCTCGCTGGCAGATAGATCTCTTGGAGTATTCATATACTGTTGTCCATCGCGTCGGTGAAAAGTACAAAACGCGGACGCCTTGCTTCGCAGGACACAGCTACTACCGCCGATCAGCGCATGCGCCACGACGATTGTCAATACGATTGGCACTCCTGACCACTTACATTGGGTTTCAGCTTGATCTACAGACCCTTACATATTGCTAATTTACGGTCGTCTTCGCCGCGAGGCATCAAAGCCGTCATGCGAGGAGATTAACGGCTCTAACCGGGAAGCTTGCTGCCTTTGGTCGGCGTGAAGCAGTCTTCGCCTATGTGATAACATGCTATGCCTTCAATGTTCTCCTAACGATCCGCGTTGCTTGGTTTTGCCTCATGACACAGTCCATCCTATATTGTCCTGCCCTCGTATTCACCTGGGTCACACCGGTCAGTCTCGCATAGACAGTGCCGCGCGGCAGCGTTTTTGGTGCCCGAATCAACGTAGGGTTATACAGGAAATTTGCCACACTTGCCTTGTGTGCGCTGAAGTTAAAAAAACCCCGACCCCACGCACAGCACACTGCTACAACCCATTCGGGCAGGCTACCTTAATGAGATCGTCGGTGTCGAGTTGATGGGTTTTATGCCTTTATCCCACTTCGGAAACCGCTATATCCTGGTCTAAGTCAGTTTATAAAGGGTATGAGGCTCTCGCCCTTGAGCTCCTTATTCAAATCCAAAATAGCAATAAAATCAATTGCTCCATTAATAATTCTGGCAAGTTAAAAGTTATTGGTATGTGTGTGCCAGGCGCAAACTGCCGCCGCTAAAACAATCGTAATTATATGTATATTAGTTTCTCAGCAAAAGGGCGTCTAGTCTGCACTTAAAGGATCCAACAGTTTCGGAAAGAACTACCGCATCAGGGAGCCCGTTCCATGCTGCAATCCCCCTCTGCGAAAGGGCGTTCCGTCGGACTTCCATATGGACCAACTTCCTCTGCAGTTTAAAGGGATGACCACACAGACGGTCAATCCCGGCCAATTCGAAAAATTCGTCAAAGTCTAGGGTGCATTCACGGCCTCTGACAATTCTGTAGGTTTGAATGAGATCGCCGCGCAGTTGCCTGTAATTGAACGGAAACAGAGTAAGCTCAGTTAGTCTGGTTTCGTAGGGCAGATTACCAATATTCTTGGCCATCTTCGAAGCCCTCGCCTGTACTCGCTCCAGCTGTTGATAATCTTTCTTCAACCACGGTCGGCAGGCCTGGACTGCAAACTCAAGGTGAGACCGGACGAATGCCTCGTGGGTTTTTTCGAACAGCTCTTTATCGATCTCCATAAATCCTCACCTCATCGCAACTATCACCCATATCGCGCGTTTGGCTGCCCTTTGACACTATGCTGATGGTTTCAGCGAGGAGATCATTAGAACGCCGAGGTCTTTTTGTTCCTTAACATTTGAAAGGGGCTGCCCGCCAAAGACATATTGAAAGGAATCTGTTATGACCCGCCTGGTACTTGCAATCCTGTGGCGCGTATGCGCACTTGACCGTTGTCCCCAATACCAACGCGGCAGAGAAGGAGAACGCGACCGGCCACGAAACTGTGTATTAGGAAAATGCAAGTCAAAAGGAACTGGAAGTAACGCGTATTTATAACGCCTTACGGTGATTCGCCGGCGTTCGGCCCAATGCCCTTCGGGAAGAACATTCGAGACGAGCCGGTCGATAATTCGAATATGCTGATCGATCAGGCCCGCGAGGAAAAGCCAATAAAGAGGCGCCACGATTAAGATGACAGCGCAGTAGAGAAAACGCACGTGGCCTCCCGTGATTGGCTGGCTCATGTTTTTGGGAGTGTAGGCACTCCCAACACATTCCCCCCGATTAGGTCAGTACCGCTTCTGGCGTGGGTTGACCTGCATCAGACGTGGTGATCGGCGCACGCGGTTGGTCCGGCGTCTTAGTCGTGGTTTAATGCCTGGAGATACGGGAACGGTAACTGATACCGAAGATGGTATATCCGAAGGGGGCGCAGAAGTGGATTCGGGAACCGACTGATCTACCGGAATGGCGAAGGTATCCAGTAGGATGTCGAGAGAGAGTGACGGCGCCGAATCGAGCCCAGTTGTGTTACTGCAATGTCGCCGTCGGATCTGGTTGTGGTGGCGAACCCAGATGTCATCACCAACGTCGACGTCAAACAACATACTGCCTCTGTGCGATACTACGGTTGCTTCAATCCAGTCTGGGAACCCCGCTCGATAATCACGAACGAAGACAGGTGTTCCGATGGAGAGCTTGCTGCGAGAGACTGGAGAAGTCTGCGCGGGCTGCGCACCGGTAGGGACGAGGGCATGAAACGTTGTACGCAGTTTTCGGCCCATCAACGCTTCGGCAGGAGAAGCGCCACAAGGGGACGCCGGGTTCGGTGTTGTCCTGTAGGAAAACAGGAACGCCTGGACTATCTCTTCCGTGGTCCCCTCCCCACGAGCTTTCAAGAGGGCTCTCTTAAACGTGTCGACAAAACGCTCCGCCTGACCGTTAGACTGAGGATGGTAGGGCGGGGAGCGAAGATGCTGGATGTTGTGCTGGCGGCAGAAATC